CCCTGCCCCCAGCCCCCACCTCACCGCCTTCTCTCTCCGCCATCCTGGCGTCTCCCTCCAAACTGCAGCAGAGTCACATCCTCAAGAAACACGGTGGCCATCTGGTCCTCTTCTCTCAGCTGTCCTGGGGTTTTCCGCTGCTCCCAGGAGGGCGGCAGGCACAGGCCAGCGTGCCGGCCCTGTCCTCCCCCTGCAGTGCTGTGCCCTTCGCCTGGAGCGCCCCCCAAGGTCTGCCGCGTTGCTCCCCGGGCCTCTGCGCCAAGGCCTCTCCCACCCAGGCCCCCCTGCGCCTGCGTCAGAGGAGCGCCCTCCCCTCTGCCCCTGCTCTGTGCTTTCCCCAGGCACTTAGCTCCCCTGGAGCATCAGCCTCTCCTGGGACTTGGTTTCCTGTATGTCCGTGTCTCTCAGCACGGGGGCCCACCTGGCCCTCGGTGAGCCCGGGAGGGAGGGGAGGGAGGTAGCCGGTGGAGCCCTGCAGGTGGCATCCACTCTGGCCTTCCCACCAGGAGACCAGGGGCCTCCACCCTCCACCTGTGTCCCCAGGTGCGCTGGGTGCGCTCTCACCTGGGGAGCCCCTGCACAGCCCCCGAGATGAGCTCAGAGGCCCTCCCGTCGTGCCTTCGGTCGCGGAATCTGCTCCTCTTTCAGAACTGTAATTCCTCGGCCACAGTGACCCACCCAGCACGGTGACTCCCTGCTGGGCTCTCTGTCACCTGCAGGTTCTCTGTGAGAACTCAAGCCGGCTGTTGGCTCAGGGGTCCTGGGGGATACGACGGGGCTGGGCCTGCCTCGGGCAGCGTCCCAGACCTGGGCTCACATTCTGGTTGTTGCCCGTGTCCAGCCTGATCGGGAAGTGGCACCCTGGCAGGCTCCTACACAGGACCTGCCCTGCACGGTGGCGGCTGGGTGTGGCAAGCGTGGGGCCCGGGCGAGAAGCAGCGGCCGGCAGAGGCCACAGGTCTTTGAGCTGTGAAGGCTCATCAGTGTGTTCTGCCCTCTCTGGTAGGAAGCTCGCCGTCTTCGACACGTGGAGCGCCCTGGCTGTTCATGTAGCGATGGACAACACAGTGGTGATGGAGGACATCAGTAAGTGAGCCACAGAGCGCGGTGTCGTGGCGGATGGGACCAGGGCAGCTCGCTTCCCTGCCTGGCCCGTGGGCCCTTGAGGGTGGTGCCGGCCAGGCTGAGCGGAAGGCCACTTGGTACCCCACGCTGCTTCTGCGTCTTCGTTACAAATAATTGACGCCTATGTGCTGGGTTCAGCTGCAAGGCCCTGTGAGTGCCCTGATGTGCCACGAAGAAGGGCGATTCAAACTGGCCCTGTGGCCACATCTCGTCCTCCGGCCACGCCAGGCGCTACTGGAAGTGTCGAGAATTCTGAGGAGTACCTGGGTTCATGAGGTCTCCTGATGGAAAAGCAGAGAATTTAGACACGTTGACAATGCTAATGGGGCTAGAAAACTACAAATGGCATGGTACAGCCAGAAACCCACCCCTTACTAACAGGGCGTTTGTATGGGACAGGCCACGCGAGGACGCAGTGAGCCCCGAGCTCAGCAACGACAGCCCTGCTTCCCTGCGCTTGTTCCAGAGGCACCAGAGGGGCCGCGCTAGTGGTGACCATCTAGTCAGCAAGGAAAATGTTCTCATCACAAAAGAGCCTCAGGGCTTCCCAGGTGGCGCAGTGGTTGAGAGTCCGCCTGCCGATGCAGGGGACATGGGTTCGTGCCCCAGTCCGGGAAGAACTCACGTGCCGCAGAGCGGCTGGGCCCGTGAGCCATGGCCGCTGAGCCTGCGCGTCCGGAGCCTGTGCTCCGCAACGGGAGAGGCCACAACAGTGAGAGGCCCGCGTAC